AAATTGCATCGAATGAATTTTTTCCTGGAGATTTTTTTCCATGGAAATCAAAGGGAGAGCGGAAGCGTACAATATATTTCGACAGAGATCCTTTTGAAATCGGAGAATGCCACTTTCATAGCCACGGATATTTCTTTTTATTGTTTTTTATTTTTTTATTTTCTTGTTTTTTTTTTTTGGTATCCTTTGATAATCAGTCGACAGACTTTTGACTAGATTTAAACCGTGTTCGTTGGTTTTTGTCGTAAATACTACTTATTTTCATAGAACCTTGAAAGAACCTCGAAATTGAAGGAATGGAAAAGCATATGGCTATTTCAAAGTTTCGTGCAATCTCACGGTACACGATATACGCGTCGCTCGTTTAATTCCTCGAGGAGCTGGTCGACAACGTATATTCAGAAAGTACAAGTTGCGAGAGCCCGAAATATGATCGTAACTCTTAGGGAAACGATCTCTCCCTCGAGAGGACAGACCTAAATATTCGGATCGCCGCCCCGGACGACGAAACCTGGAAATCCTCTCTTTCCGCTTGGAAATTGCGGCGAAACGCGAACGGTATCGAGCACACCCGGACTCCCTTAAATGCCTTAATCTCGCCAATCCTTTAGACCGAATCCTTTGATACCAACGACAATGTTGCTCGGATCGAGAACGTAATCAATCGCGTTATCTTCTTATCCGAGTGGGTGAAATCTCCTTTCTAAAAGAAAAAAAGAAAAAAGTGAGTTTTAAATTTAAATTACCGAAAACTCGATACCCTACTCGAGAAATAGGTTTGCATTTCAATTACGCGTGATTGAAGATCTAGCTCCGGGGAACCAGTTCTGGAGTTCCATCCTCCTCCTCACTGTGCATGCACAATGATATTAACATTTTAACCCGCAAACAGGCCACGTTTGAAGTTCACGCCAGACTGTAATAGGTCTTGCAAAGTTAATTCCGTCAACTTGTGCACGAACTTAATCGAGACTCACGTCGAGAGACACGTTATAGTCGTTATAGTCGTTATAGTCGTTACGCCGACGTATTTTTCCAACGACTTTCCGCATTAAGTTATCGCGAATGGTACGTCGAAGATGGATACGAGGATAAAGCTTATTCGATCCGCGAGCTTTCAATATCCAGAGGGATACCATTACACGCTCTCTATCTACCTACAGGTACATTTTACGATACTGCAATAATCGCTATGCAATATCCATCCACATTTTTTCTCTCCTCAACCATTTCCAACCGCTACGAGGCCGTTCCTTTTTCCCTCGGAAACGGGGGAGGATCGTTTCTCTTTGAGACGGATAGCTGAACACTTTTCTTTCTCGACCACGACTTACCCGACTAATTAGAACGCTCGAATTCCTAGGCGTCTTGGCGACGACCGTCGTAATGGGCGTTTTTCGTTTCGCAGAAGCGCTCAACTTAGCTTCCCCTCGCTAAAAGTGACTACGGTCATCCAACGTTGGGCTTCCATTGTGGAACTAAAAAGTGGTTGGTTAAACGAAGAACCACCTGTCCAGACGATTCCTCGCTCGTTTCGCTTTCTCGCGGCGACAGAAATTCTTTGGGAAGCGCGAGAGATTTGAACAAATTCTCGTCGCATACGATTCAAAATCGTATAAGAAATATCTTACTTATCGACTACGTTGTAAACGATGATGTAATTCGTGCCGCTCCCTGATACAATGTATCAGTTCACGAAACTGATGATTACAGATGGAAACTTTATCCATCTCGACCAAGCGCAATTTTTCGCGCACAATTATTTTTCATTCTTTATTATTAACTTTGTCACACGATCGGTGCGACATACCGGGATAACAGCGTTCGTCATAACGAGAGCCACTGACCACATGAAACGTGGCGCGGCGGTTTGTGACGCCGAGCTCCAATTACCAGAAGTTAGAGAGGAGAGAGAGAGAGAGAGGGGGGGGGGGGGGGGGGGGGGGGGGGGGGGGGGGGGGAGAGAGTGGTCTAGAACAAGCGCGACCGGTCGAATCCGGTTTTTTTCTCACCTGGGCGAAAATGAATGGGCCGCAATTTGTCGCACTCGTCCATAAGTCATTGAAAATTGTCATTGCAATTTATCACGAATCCGCCGGGTGTAATTTTATTTTCAACGGATGGAACTTCCAACGAGATCTGCCGTTATTTTCCATTAGGCGCGATTTACCGGTGATAAGGAATGCTAACCGCGTTCAATCATTCTGGCAATTACGGCCATCCCGCTTCGACTCGCCACCAACTTTCTTTGTCGAGTCGAGCGAGAGAGAGAGAGAGAGAGAGAGAGAGAGAAAATAACTGCGAACTTTACTCGAAACCAGTGAAATATATCTTTACAAGATATAAATTCCCGTATTATTCGTACGTCGAATATACCGTCGCGTGAATCACGAATACGACAAACCGATTTGAACAAAGGTGTATATCTATATTCGTGTCGGTGATTTTTTTTTTTCTTTGGTAAATCTTACTTGCCGCGATTTCTCGAAGATTACCAAATTGTAATTCGAAGGAGAGAAATTCTTTTACTTTTTCCTTTATTTTTGTCCGCTTTCGCACGAGATATTTCTATCGATATCGAAATCGATTGCTACCCGATGCGAATCGATATTACGATTCTTTCCCTATAAAACGTACCGATATTTGTTTGCGTTATGGTCTGAATTTTATAAACTGATACATTTGGATGGAGATGAGAGAGAGAGAGAGAGAGAGAGAGAGACAGAGACGGATCATAACATTATATGGCTGTCATACGTCAATAAATATTCATGAGGTTCTGAAATAAAGTTCGGCCATCACGTGTTCATCAAGATAAATGGAAGTATCGGCAGTAAATTGTACGTGTCGTGAAGAAAGACCGCGTCCTTTGTCCGCGACCTGAAAACTCTCGAACGAGATTCGTGTTATTCCATGAATACTGATCGTTCCATCCGAGAAACTTGACCGGGTCGACGAAATTTTCATCGTTCTTAATTTATTTTGCTCATCCTCTCCTCTCCTCGAGAGCTCTAACAACGAAAGAAAAGAAGGGATGAGGCGATAGTTGGCCGTGATACGCCACATTGCCAGAAAATTCGATGCGCGAAACTGGATTCTGGTAAGGTAAAGTGAGAGGCGGAAAAAAGAGAAGAAAAGTCAGAGAAAGAGAGAGAGAGGAGAAGCTCGTTACAAGCTCTCGCAGCTTGGTCGTTGCTACAGAATTAATTAAATCGGAAGCGTGGCAAAGCACATATAAAATATCAAGAAATGTGGACGGTTACGGGGAAGGATTTTATTATTTTGTTATTCCATTGATCACGCTCGATGCGCTTAAATTCCCAACCTTGTTTGCCGATAATCCGCTATTTCTCTTGCGTAAAGAGTCGTAATTGAACCTAGCAAAATTGAAAATTAATTATTTGCTCTCCGAGAGCGTAACGTGGAACACGTGACGCTTTGACGTTAAAATGGGAAATTTTCATAAAGCGACGTTGATCAACTTTGCTTTTGAGCGGCCCAATTAAAGGTTAGATCAACATGCAAATTGCGATAGTTGCTTTGATACGGAGAGGGAGAGTCGGGCAAGAGAGTCGCGTTACGTAAGGAACAAGGCAAGGGGGGCTGGTTTCCTTCACATTGCTCGATTGAAAAAGTTACTTGCCAAGGGGAATGCACGTCGAGCAGGGGGAATTAGCATAGTTGAAACGGGTGGACTCCTGTTTTATTCATGTATATTAATAAGTAAGCTTATCGCATACGCGTTTCAAGCGTCGGTCTGTATTGGACGACTTTTCTTTCCTCCTTTGATGGATTGATGCGAGAAAAACAACGATACAACCCCTCCTGTGAGTGAGAAAGAGGAGAGGCATTTTCTCTTCTCAGCTCTACTCGTTCCCCCATCTAATTCACTCTTAAGCCGAAACGTAATGAGCTCTGATCTAATCTAATTCCATCTAATCTCTTCCCGGCTTCTATACTCTTCCAAGCTGGCCTATCCCAGGCTATTATGTTTCTCCGATCTATAGAGATCTTCTATACTTCTTTTTCCTATTGAAGGTGCACCCTGTTCTTAAAGCTTCCCTTCTCCCAGACAACTTATTTTAACGACTCGCATAAAAGTTATCCCTGTTATCTCTTTCCAAATATTTCCTCTTTCTCGAGGGTAATAACTAGATAAATACGGACAACACGTGCAACAATGATTCACAAACACTCGTAATTGTATTATATATGAATATAGGAGAGAAGAGGAAATTCTATTTTTTCAGAAAATTGGGTTGAATCGAGAGTTGAATCGATGAGTTCGTTCGCATCTTCGTAACTAATTCCGATCGATTTTCTTTAACTTCGACGGGACACGACTATTTCAGGCTCGTGAATTTTTAATCCATCTTTATTGGCCAAACTTTTATAAGGATGCACGCGCGCGCCAGTTTGATACGGAGAATACGAGGTAACGATTACCACGCGAATGAAATAAAGGAACATTAATATTCGAGGTATTGCAATAATAAAAGAGTTATCGATGTTTGAATTTTCGGGGGAAAATTTAGGACGCGTTTTCATAAACATCCTCGGCCAACGGTATTGAAAGAACAAGCAAATTTAATACGCTAGTCGAATACGAAATCTGATTTCCGACTACCGCGCGGAATAACGTGACAATTTAACCCGTCACCCCCCCGTAAAACTAAACAGAAATACACGTACGTACCAATGTTCGAATGTTTAAAATCAATTATTCGTCGAAACTCGTGGACGAATTTTCACGTGCGCCAAGGGCAAAAATTATTTTTCGATGCTGTTCCATTTATTTCACGCGCCCCTGTTAAAAACGTCCATTTCGAAAACGTCAATTCGTTCGATTTCGTATTTCGAATGTTTTGAGAATGAAAGAAAAAGAAAGAAAATTGTATATTTTTACCATATCGAATATATATCGCTCTCGCGGAGGGCGAGAGAAGTAACATTTCTCTGACTAACCGATCTTTTTCTCCCCCCTCCTCTGGTTGTTGCAGACACGCTGAGCTTAGGAGATCGCACGATGGACAACATGGATCGACACGGTGGTCAGGGTAGACCGCGGAACCAGATGCTCGATCCACCCAACATGAAACTGAAGGTGGAGCCTACGTTCGACTACTCGCAGAACACGAACGTGACAGCGCTGATAGGGAAGACCGCTTATCTCACGTGTAGGGTTCGCAACTTGGGCGACAAAAGCGTAAGATTCCTTCATTTCCATCGTTCATCGTCCGATTTCGCCATTTTTCCGCCTACGAATTTCCTCTGTAGAGCCGAGTTCCGATACCTTTCTCATTTATTTCTTATTCGGAGACCTGTTTCCGAGTTGGAATACGGGATATTGCTCCGGGATAACGCGGAAAATTGTTCAAGACAGGTTAATGTTCCAGAAAAATGGTTACCTTTATATATATATATACACACACACATACGCACACTCTTCTCTCCATCCCGTTACTCGACGGGGTTTCGACAAATTTGTGGCAGAAAGGTAATCACGACAAAGGCATGGTACATCGTTGACTGAACAAGAGAGGGGAACCCGATCTTCGCAAAGACGTTAGGAAAGCGATTTGCAGGAAATAATCGAGTTGCTCGAGCTCGATTGGACGTTAATCGACCTTCGAGGCAACTGGAAACTCAATTTTATAGCTGCTCGCGGTTCCGATGTTAGGCTACAGGTATTGGTCGACCCGAAGTAACGGTTGGGATACTCGAGGTATCCGTCGAGTTATAAGCGAGTCATGGTTTCGCCATATCTTACGATACGACCTATTTTTCCTATTACTTCTCTTGTCAATTTTCTCTCGGCCGCAACGTTAGACGATATGGTAATGTTAAGAGGATTCAAGATCACGTAGTTCGTTAGCAGTCGAGTTTCTTAGCGAGATGGTATTTTGGTAGAGCATACGTTGCAAAGCGTCTCGATATTTCGAGATGATATCGGAGATAGAAGATACCAGTTCAAATAGAGCCAAATAATTTAAATACCTTCAAATTTTAGAATCCGGAGAAAGATTGGACATTGAGATTTGGACAACAGGTAGGAGAAAATCCAGATAATACCTGAATCTATTTTTCGGCCAGATTGTCCGCTTCCTTTTGAAATAAAATTAGTAGTTTATCGTTAAATCTTACTCAAAGTTTCGTGTCGGCGAATATCTTTGTAGATACAAACACGGGATTGTTTGATTAATATCTTGGTAGAAATAAAGTTGGAGAGGCGAATGAAGAAGGGGCGAAACAAAGATCGCGCAAACGAGATTGTTGATCCAGATACGGGGATGGAAACAAGGCCGTTCAATTTCAGTATTTCCTAGTGTGTAAACCGTATTAAGTAAATTCATTATTACGGTGGAGGGCCGACGTACCTTAATTTCATTCGTTGTTCCGCGTCAGCCGTGAAATTCCATTTGCTCCACGTCCGAATTGCTAGGTCATACGGATTTCCTCGATACGTGATTCTCGCCCCTTTCCACTCCATCCGGACGGACTTCGTTTCTCTCGTAATATTCATCAGCGAAACCTTGTCTCTTGCTATCAATTTTACAGAAAATCAAAAGATCGATGAACTACCGCGGTCGCAAGAGCGCGAATACGCTTCAGAGAGCAACTCTTTTTAGAAACTTACTTTTCTAGAAAAAAATTACTTCGAAGAAGAAGGAAAAAAAGAAATTAAAAATTGATTCGCGACATCGATCGCTTCGAGAGCGATTGACCGAATTTTCAACGCGGTGTATTCGAATTTTACTCTGAAAGAGGTATTCGCACGTTCTCGAGACAAGCAAACAAGGACTCATTTGCAGTTACGTCTTCGCAAACGTTGCTCAAACGTTCGACATTGGTCGTTTCGAGCTAGATTCGTGGAAGCTCGGTCGACTCCCTTGGCTCGTTTCGATTGCCAAGTTCCTCTTATTCCTAGAACGCCGAGAAACGAGCTCGTCGCACAGGGTGGAGACGTAAACTTCTTCGAGTAAATACGCTAAGTAGCGCCAACACTCGAGCCCTGGCTTCGCGCGGATTCCAAGTTGGAGGAAACAGCTGCCTTTTCCGGTTTACATCGGGAGAGATGAATCGCGGAGGAGGATATATATCGGCGCGGCGGGGAGAAGATTCACAAGCTTTTGGCGAGCTTTCTCGCGCAAATGACCCACCCCTTTGTGCACCAACTTCCAACCACCGATTATTAATGTCTCGTCGTTGTTACGACAGCTATTGTACACCCGTTTTGTCGGGAGTCAAGTGCACGGGCGGGTCGACGAACCAATAAAACTCATTGTTTATGCCCGCGCGTGATATCGCCGCTTTTACGACTCCAATTTTATCGCGGACATATACTTTTCAGAAACTACAAGCGTCGCGATAAGCCCACTTATTTTTTCGTTCTCTCTCTCTTTTTTTTTTTTTTTTTTTTTTTTTTTTTCTTTCGTAAAGTTAACCCTCTGCGAATTCGATCGGCCGAGAAATATATTATGCAGTTACCAACACTCTTGCGTAGCTGTGAAAAGAAGCAAATCTGATAACGTTAACGCGATCAGACTTACAAACTCTTACACATTTTTTCCCCCCTTGTCACGATACAACGCATATTACGTCTAGTATTTTTCATATCAAATCTTTTATCGATATAATATCAATTTATCCGCAAAGGATTAAAATTTTCTTGATATTTATATTTTTAAGAAGAAAGCATCTCTCGGTTCGACTTAAAAGAATTCAAAAGTAGAGAAATGAATTTTATTAATGTTCGATTGGACGCGAAAATCGAAACAACGCGACGCCCCGACGCGTTTCGGCCGTTTCAGATTGGCCAGAGCCGGATCAGAGGCTCGGTCATCCGATTACCCTTCCCCCCATCGCGGCCCTAATAGCCCTCTCGACGGGAAACTTCATTTTTCGCGCCAATAGGCTACAAAATAATTTCTCCCATCCATCGTCCCGGTTACGATTTATCTAAACGAGGTATCTCTCTGGGCCGGCCCGGTTCAAGATTACCCGGAATTATCCTCGCGAGAAAGACACAAGCTCGATCTCTCGAAAATGGAACGAGAGAGAGAGAGAAAAAGGGCGCATGCCTCGTGCAGTCTTTTCTCCCCCTCCTCCCTCGCCACGAATCGTTCCCTCAGTAGCATTACTCCGAGAACGAGGTTGAATCGAATCCCGAGTGGAAAGGAGCACCGCCAGTGGATTGAATCGTTCCATTTTCGAAAGGCG